CCCTCACCTGGACAAAAGCAACACCTGGGTGGGCAGAAGGCTGGACGGATGATGGATGATGGACAAAACGATGGAAGGTGGATGCAGGATGGACAGAAGTGTGAAAGGAAAATGGATGGATGGTGCATGGATGGATGAAAGGAAAACAGATGGAAGGAAGAATGGATGGAAGATGAGTAAATGGAAGGATGAGGAAATGGAGGACGGGCAGATGGACGAATGGATGGACAGGTGAATGGATGAACAGAAGGTGGGTGGATGTGAAATGAAGTTGGGAGTTTAGGAAGGAGGGAGGGAGGGAAGGAGGAGAGAAGGAAGGAAGGAAGGAAGGAAGGAAGGAAGGAAGGAAGGAAGGAAGGAAGGAAGGAAGGAAGGAAAGAAGGCTGGCAAGGAGGAAGGAAAGGAGGGAAGGAAGGAGTATAAATGGACAGTGATGGATGGAGGCTGAACAGCCAGGCAGGGAGCTGTATGAGGGAGAGTGACAGAAGGAAAGGCATGTTCTCAGAAGCCCACCCTGGCGGCCTTGAACCTGTCCCAGCTGTCTCCTCCTCTCCTGCACCCCTCTAACCTGTAGCAGCTCCCTGGGACACCTGCAAGGCCGGAGGCGGTGGGGGCAGCCAAGCACACACGTCCTCATCACCTGCACGCCAACCCAACCTGTGCCCGGCACCTCCCCACTAGGGCAGCTCTGTGTCCCGGACACACCGGTCACTTCACATGCGTTCAGGGCTGCTCATGCCCTGAGTGGACCCCACGACCAAGACGTCTCTCCAGGGAGACACTGGGTGACTTTCTGCTGACTCGAGCCTTCCTGAAATGAGCTGGTGCTGCAGTGAGGGTGCAGAAGGACTTCCTCAGTGTCCCCGCAGGGAACTGGCACCGGGGTGCCCCACCATCAGGGGCACGAAGACCAAGCCTCAATGGGGGGAAAGGAAGATGACATCAGGATGGGACCAGCTCCCTGCACAAGCTGTTTCTATCTTTTCTCCTGAAACCCACAAGGGCATCCGGCCTTCCCAAGGGGACCCCAGACTCAGCACATCCAGTTGCCAGGGCTGCAGCGGAAGGACAGAAGATTGGGTTCTCCACAGAAAGCAGCAAAATGAAACACAGGGCGTTTCCATTCCAGTCATTCTACTGTACTTGGATTTGGATCAGAGAGGCTCTAACAGCCCCTGACTTGGCTCCACACTGAAGGAGGGCGTTGCAGCTCCTGGGGACCTGGAGACAGTGAGTCCACATCAACCTCAACCCAACCCCAACCCTGCCCAGCTCCTGTGGGGGCAGGACCAGCCATCACCCACGGGTGGAACTAGGCCAGAGGCCCATCCACATAGCGACCGTCTCTCAGCCTTAGAAGAGGCGGGCACGCAGCCTGAAAACGCACGCAGCATGGGCCACCCACCAGTGCCGAGGGCCCGGGACAGGAAGGACGGAGTGGCTGCCTCCTTGGGATGGGCTCTCTGGCAAGGTCTGGGCACGCCTAGAACTAGACAGGGGCAGTGGTTACACAGCACTGCCAAGGTACCAAGTGCCCCTGAATCACACATTTCAACATGACTGTTTTCTGCATAGCCCAAATTTTATCTGAAATTTTTTAAAATTAGAGAGCAGGAGAGGGCGTGGGGCGGGGGGAGCTAGGACTGGGCTGGGGAGGGGTGGAACTTGGGCTCTACCCAGGAGTACCTAGGCAGGAGGGAAGAGCCAAGCCCACCGAGTCTACCCAGGTCATCCCAAGTTGTGTGACTGGACCCCCAAGACCTGGAGGCACAAGTCCAACATGGGTTTCAGGGGCACATCGAGCTTCGCCTGCCTCTCCCAGCTGCCAACTCTCCTGCCCTCCTTGGCCACGGCCACACACCCTGACCTCTGTGTCCTTCACACATCATCTTTGCCTGACCCTAGCCCTCCGGACTCCACTCGGAGTCACAAGTGTAATTACAGCTGCCAACGTCTCTTCCACCTCACCTGCAGAGTTCAGAGTGAGGAGGTTGAGGTTGACATATCTTTTGGGGTCACCACACAGTTCCCCCCTCTATAGCCCACTGCCAAGTGCACAAGATCACAGCAACCTGCAGTTGGGCTTCGCAGCCTGCAGAGGAGGCACCAAGGACAGCCCTGCCTAAGCAGCCCTGGCAGGTGGACACATCCTTCACGGCCTTAGCCCCAGGGCTGGGGACACACTGTAGAGCCACGAGGACCTCCAGCCAGGACACCCTCAATCTGCAGGGGTGCTCTGGCCACAACAAGGGCTCCACCACACACCTGGGATGCCTCGTTTCCCCCTACCCCACCCTACATCTGATCCTGCAGCCAGCACCAGAGGAGACCCAGATGAAGTCTGCAACTCATCTGCGCATGGAAGCACAATCGGGCTTCAACAGCAGATCAGCTCATCAGCACCACACGTTTGGAGGGCGGGGAATGCTCAGTTCCTCAAAAGAGGCCCTAGGCTGCCTTCCAGCCCTAAGAAGCCAGGCAGGCCTCCGGGCTGTGGGCTGGGTGTGTGGGTTTTCCAAAAGGGAAGGCACTTGGCTAAAGGGAACCTTGGGTTAATTAGTAAGTCATTAACTTCTTTCAGGGCTGAGGATGGAACCCAGGGGCGCTCTACCACTGAGCTATGTCCCAGCCCTTTCATCGATCTGACTTGGAAATGAGGTTATGTGAAGTTGCCAAGGGAGATGCTAACTTGTACTTCTCCTGCCTCTGCCTCTCTGAGCACCAGGATTCAGAAATGCGTTGTGACAAGAACCCCAGCTGGTGTCTCCTGAGAGCTGCAGGTGAAAACCCCAGAGTGCCCCAATCCTGGTGGAAATCTCAGCTCATGAGGAGCAAGAGGGAACCTTCAGACCCAGGGTGCCTGGCTGGACTGCCAGGAGGCCCCCCATCCATTGAGCTCACAGCAGGGTGTGTGTGTGAACTGTCAGAGACCGCCCCCACTCCCGCACCCGGCTGCAGACCTCAGGAAAGGTCCAGAGAGACTGGGGTTTGGGCTGGGAGAAGAGGGGAGACAGAGGTCAGGATGAGCAGGTAGGGCGGGAAGAACAAGCATGGCGAAGGAAGCCATGGTCTGTCCCATTTGTTCCCAGCTCCTGGGGCCCTCGCACAGCTCCAGAAAGGACGCCAAACCCGAAGGCCTTGGCTGACGGCACTCCTGGGGCTGTGGCCACACTATGGTCGCACTCTGCATAGGGATTGGTGGGTCCCTGAGGGTCGGGTTGAAGAACGGCTGTGGGTACAACTCAAAGGTGAGCTGGGCCTTCCAGCTTGTGATCCTCCGAAGCCACCTGGCCTCCCCCTATGGTCACTTGGGAAGCCCCCACCAGACTCCACCCTGTGTGGCTTCTGGTAACAAACTGCAACTGTGATCCAGGGCGTCACAGAGCGAAGCTTGGTCTCTGGAGCCCCGCACACTATCAGGGAAACAAACTGCTGAGCCACTTTCAGGCCCGCGCTGAACTAAGGGGTCCAGGTGACTGTCATCTGAAGCCCAGAGGCTGTGTCCCTCCCTGGTTCGGAGAGGGCACGCAGGACAGGGCCACAGCTCACCAAGATGCAGGGCGCAGACCTGGGACTCGCTATCCACTGTCTGCACTGCACATCACCCATCCAAAGGACAGCAGTGACCTTCCATCCACACCATGGCCTTGGGCCAGGGCAGTGGCTGCCGCCTGCCCAGCCACAGCGGGTGGCTCAGGAAGCACCTGTGCAGAGAAGGGCTGGGCTGTAGGGAAGGCGTCCGCCCACCCACCCGAGTCCTGCAGGGCCTCCCTACTATACAGACAGCAGGACACACCCAGGGCCAGTTTTCTCCGTGTTCTTTGCCACCCTCAAAGCCACCCCTGCATCCCGCACTGGTCTTCCTCCAGGAGAGGGTGGTCCACCCAAAGCACCAGGCCTGGACCTCACTGGCTTACAACTGCCCACCGCAGACCAGGACTCCAGGCCACTCTCTCTTCTGGGTGGAGGACTGGAGACTGAACCCATTACCTCTGCACTGAACAACATCCGCAGGCCCCCAACTCACCATTTTAAATCTTAAGGCAGGGTCTCTCTAAGTCACCCAGCTAGGCTTGAACTTGTAATCGTCATGCTTCAGCTTCCCAGAATCTTGGAATGACAGGTATGTGCCACCAGGCCCAGCTTCTTCAGGAATTTTGTGTCTCCTGAGAATCTGGGACCACAGACATCCTAGGGCTCCCACAGGGGCTCGTGCTGAGCAATTATCCTATCTGGGATACCATGCTCCCCAAATTCCCTGGCACCTGGTCCTGGGACTCTGCCTACAGGCATGACCAGTGTCCCTGAAGAGGATATCGCAGTAGACATTGTGCTCACAATGTGGTATCCAGGCAGGAGGAGCCTTTCAGTCACCCCAGCTGTCCCATGTTCTCAGGGACCCCAAGACACCCAGAGAAGGGCAGCACCTGGGCTGAGCCTGTCCCTGTGGAGCCTGCCTCTCTGGTCCACAGGTCAGAGTCAGAATCTGCACTGACCAGTTCTCATCAGGGGCCAGGGGCCGGGCCACCCTCCCCTAAGCTCCATGATGTACAGAGACTAGAGACCAAGCCTTGAGGCTCGTGGGCTTCCCTGAGGTGAACTCTGTGAGCAAAGAGAACTGAGTAGGGCGATGTAACCCTGAAGGCCCAGGTCCTCCCAGCGCCAGCCTGTGGACCCCAGCAGCTGCTGCACCCACACCTGCACCCTGTGTCTGCGGCACAGCAAGCAGGTGTGGCTAGACGGGCAATGGTCTGTGAAAGGACTAATTTGCCAATCTTATTACCTAAATTGAAGGAGATTTCACAGCCGTCAGTAATGTGCTACAAGATTTCCCTGGTGCACACTGCGAACCCCTTCCTCTGCACCCCCTCCAGCCACCGCCACCAGGTAACCTAACGGCACGTGGAAAATTCACCATCCGGACTGGGCGGAAAGCTCCAGGACCAGTGAGGTTGGGGACCATGGGGTCGCCTGGGTGAAGCATGCTCTGGTGAACTCACCTGATTCCTTTGTTCTGTGCGATGCTGTGCAGGGACAGCCGGGACACCGCAGAGATGACCTGTGGGGACAGAGACAGCGCCTGTGATTTCCCGAGCCACCAGGAAGTCATCCCAAAGCTGCGATCGAGCAGTCACAATGAGTAGGAGGATGGTTACCCAAGCACAACCTGCCCTGTAGGAAATGGTGTGGCGCTCTGCAGGTGACACCCCTGTCTACAGTCACCATGCCAAATGCATCCCGCCAGCAGAGAACTGCTCCTCACCACCACCCCCTGGTTACCAGAAAAGGGGCCACTTGCCCCGGGCTGATAGCGAGTCTTCACAAGTTCCATGGTTGTTCTGGACTTCACCGCCAGTAGCTGCTCCTGTTTAGAGCAGGTGGCGACCCTCTCAGAGATGGGGTCATGGAAGAGGCCAGAGGGCTCCACGAGTGCCCAGAGCCTCAGCACAGCAGGGACATGATGCAGAGGAAACACCCACATGTGGTACATGCGTCTCTTTGAGCCCCAACCCCCTGACACCCAGACAGCTGTCCCCCCACAGGCACCACAAAGGGCCCTGGTACGGACATTGTAGGGTCTCCCCAGGATGACAGACTCATCCAGACAAGCCCCTCCTTCCTGTCCCCTGGGCCGGCCACCACCACACACACAAGGCCCCACATTCCAGTTATCCCACAGAACTTGAAAAGAACAGGTAAGGAGCAGGCTTGGTAGAAGGACAGAAATGAAGATGGGGAAACTGAGGCAGGGGAGAGGAAGCAGCTGACCCGGGAGCACAGAGTATCACACACAGGAGACAGAACTGGCCACTCACGGTGCAGCAGGCAGAAGGAAGGTGGTACCAGCCACACCCAGCCTGGCCCAGGAAGCAGTCTGGACCCAGGACCTGCAGCGTGGTGGGAAGTTACCTGGGAGTGTGTGTCTGGGTGTGTGTTTGTGCGTGTGTGCCTCCATGCACGCATGCATGCTGCATGTTCTTGCGTGTGTGCTGCATGTATGTGTGCATGCAAGTGTGTGTGGTGAGGGATAGGCAATAAGAAAACAGCCCCTGAAACTATGTGCTCACTCACAGGTGCTCCCCAGTGCCGGCTGCCCTGGGGCACTGCACCCAGCCAGTATCTGGGGCGTAGCAAGCCAGCAAGTTCCCTGCAAGCCACCCTGCCATGAACCCTTGGCAGGCGGAAGACCCAGGCTGGGCACTGGTACACAGCCGCTACAGGACGCAGTCCTCAGGCCTCAGACCCCTCCCAGGCTGTTCTGCTCCCAGCAGCGACTTCCAAACAGGGAGGAAAACACGGCACACAGAAGGGCCCCTCTCGCCGGGTGAGCACCAACCCCATCAGCTCTGTGTTGGGACCAGGGCTCACAGAAGTTACGAGCCTGCGCAGCAACATGGCTTCCTGTGTCCCCAGACGAGACTCAAAGGGCCATTATGCAGCCAGCCAGCCGCAGCTCCCAGCCACATGTGCTCCAAGGCGCCTTTCACAAATAGGGAGCCACTGGACCTTTGGTGTTATTTTTGGCTTTTAAGAGCTCTGAACATTTAGAAGGAATAAAAATTAAAGCAGTACTGCTGGATGTCCTTGGTTCCAGGCTGGAAACGTGAGACCTAAACAGATACCCAGCACAGAGCATACAGGCCACCTCTCCCCATGCTTCCCATAGCAGACATCACTAATCAACTGCCACACTCCTCCCTATGAGCTGCCTGTGGGTATGGGATCCCTGATGGGGTCCTGGGTTGGCACCAGCCACTGTCGGCACCTGTCCAGGAGATACAGCCTCTGTGCTGACCTACAGCCAAGGCAAAGGCCTTGTTCCCATGGAACCCAAGACTGCTGCAGCAGATACACGTGAATCCCCATGCCCCCACGCCTGTGGCCTTGGGAACGGATGGGCTCCTCAGTCACACTGACCAGGCAGCACCCGCGCCTCAAGTGTGCAGCACCCACTCCAAGGTGGCAGCTGTCACTGGTGGTTTGTGCACAGCTCGGCGGCTGAGGATGGCTGATGACACAGGCTGAGCCATGCTCAGTGAGCTTGACCCAGCAGCCAGTCTGGCTAGCTGAGCCCGAGCTGCCCATCCCTGTCTCCTTGGCTGGGAGCTCCCTTTCCTGTCTATGCAGATGAAACCACTCAGGGGCCACCCCGGGACCCCACTGCAGTGATGCAGAGCCCAGATCATGGATTAGACAGAAGGGAAGGGGCAGCCCCCCAACAGCTGCCATCCTGTACCCCTGCTGCAGCAGAAGGAGAGCAGGGACTCCACAAAGCCCCACTCCCAGCACAGAGCACTGGACGTCCCCAGGGCACCCTTCTTGGTAACAATCAAAAGCCACCTCACTCAGGGTCCCTGTGGACGCCTCCAAGAGCATAAATATCAGAGACTGACATTTTCCCAACTTTTATTTCTGCTTCCCAGCTGCTTCCCAGATAGCTGATGGATGAAGATGCACTCCTCTTCCCTCCTTCCCCCCAGATCCTAGCTCCGTCCTGGGGCTCAGCTGAAGGTTCTGGGAAAGGAGGCTGTGTCCCAAGAGGACCTGTTAGAGAGCCCCTGCCTACTCCACCAGCTCCCCGCAGCTGGGCTCACTGTGCCAACCACCAATACCCACTGCAGGTCTCACACACACCCAAGCCTGGTGGATACCACAGGAAGAAGGGGACAGGATGGCTCTGTTCCCACCCAGCCACCAACACTCTGACCCCGAGACCAAAGCAGTCCACAAGCCCTGGCACCTTGACACCTGCACAACAGGAGCTGTGTGGGCAGGGACCCCAACACTGTCCCCAGAGCCCCAGAATCTGTGTGTACTGACAAGTCCCCCACAGCTGGGAAAGTGAGTCAGGCAGGTAACACCGTAAACCGAATGCCAGTAAGCAGTGGGTCTGGAACATTCGTGGTCACCAGGAAAGGGGCACGAAATGCTGAGGGCTTCAGAGCCAGAGAGGCATGAGAGCAGTCCTGAAGGCCTCCGTGGAAAAGAAACGCCAGGGGTTAAGGTCCAGGGCAGAGCTGTCTCCACCATGGGCCCCCAAGCCCAGGCTTCCTGACCCCAACTTCTGGGGTCTACCATCTCTCCTGTCAAGCAATGGACTAACAAGACTCTGGGCAGGGGGACCCCCTCGGGCCAGGCTCTGAGAGCCAGGCCCACTGCTGGGGAAAAGCTGGGAGGGCAGTGGGGGCCCACACGTGCCTGAGGGCAAGCTGACCCAGCAACTCTTCCACCCTGGAAGTGACAGAGCTGTCACTCCCTCCTCCCAGGCCCCACCTGTCCCGCTGTCACAGGCTGAGCTGCACACCCATGACAGGAGCAGGCCCCTGTCAGAAGGGGTTTGCCTCGGTCACTCAGCCTGATATAACAGCAGGCAGCAGGGCCTCCCCACTGGAGGGCATCCCCTCCAGCGACGCTGCAGGGCCTGGGGTTCAGATGCGAGCCCACTGCTGTACTTAAGCTCTCCCTGATCACCCGCTGGGCAGCAGAGCCCAGGGCCATGGGGACTGCTGCAGCTGGGACCCCAGCTGCAATTCCACACAGAGGTGCAAAGGCTGACCTCATCAGTCCCGCCACTCCAGGCAGTGAATCCCACCGAAGAGGCTTATGACACCATCCCTGGGGCCACGTATTCCCAGCAGTGGAGACGCTCAGAGCAGACCACGGGGAGCCTTGGTTCCATGGGGCACAGAGTCCCTACCGACAGCAGAGGCTCCACCCACAAAGGTGCAGGCCCAGCCAACCCCAAAAGCGCTCCCTGCAGGTTTCCAAATGTGTGACTGCCTGGCAGCAGCTTGATGCCCAGCACAGGATGCAAAGGAAATAAAACAAACACACCCACAAGGGAATCAGCCCCAGGTAAAGGCAGGCTCCAGAGGGAGCGCCTGCTACAAAACACATTCATAAATATCTCAAGCGGAGAAAACCTGCTGTAAAACATGCACAGTAGACATGAAATGTTTAAAATGCACGCTCCTAGAAGAGTCTGGCAGGCAATGCACGATGGCTGGCAACCGTCATCCACGGCCAGGTAGATCTTCACCCTCCTTGGCTGAGCCTGCAGGAGCCAACCTGTAGGTGCCCACACCCTCAAGGGCCAACCCATCACGGATTCGCCTGTCAACATAGCATGGCACTCAAACCAAGGGACCCTGACTCCCTGCCTTCAGATAGAAACACAAGACCAGCCATGCTCTCCATGCCCTGGCCATCAAAGCCCCAGAGCACTCCATGGCAGGCTTCCCACTCCCAGGGAAGCAGCCAGGAAGCCAACGGGGACGTTCAAGCTTGAGAGACTGAGGTCTGTGCTCTAAGGGAGACAGGACAGATGCACTTGAAATGCAGCGGTCTATGAAGCCTCGCCTCCAGCTTTGTGTTCCAAGTACCTCACATAAGGGAGCTACTTGGCAAATGTTGGTATGGGCAGGGAGATGGACAGAGACCATGAGAGAAAGGGACAATAGGTAGATGGATGGCTGGATGGGTGCACAGATGAATGGATAAGTGGATAGGTGGGTGGCTGGGTGTGTGGTGAACGGATGATGGATTGTTGGAAGATGGATGGATTAGTGAAGGATGCATGGATGGATGGATGGATAAACAGGTGGATGGGTAGTGGACTGACGGATGGATGGGTGGGTGGATGGATGGATGAGTCGGTGTGTAAATGAAGGAATGCATGGGATGAGAAAAGAGCTTCCAAAGAGAACCTGGCTCCCAATGCCAACTTCTCAATTACCAGAACGTAAGCTTCTAGACCCTCACTGTATGCTAAGCACCAGGATTAGTGTGACGTAAACAAGTCCTGTACATAATCTCCACTTATCAAACAAAGACAGGGGACTTGAGTCAATGATGTCCTTGTTGCAGATCGCCAGCAGGAAGCGACTAACAGAAGGACGAACTGCAGGGCCCAGCCCCAGGCTTCTATCACTGCACGGCAGCTCACAGGAGCTTGATACCAGCCTCAAACCCTCTCCTTCCAGGCTGAGCTGGACCTGATTTTCCAGCCTCTCCTCCGCTCCTGAGGCTCACGCAACAGCAGAAAAGGACACAAAGGGC